AACAATAAATACATTAGAACAAAAAAATTATACATACATGGACTACAACTTTACAATTTGATGATTTTTCAGTTTCATTCAGTGGCCTACACCTTACAATCACTTTCACATTGTCATTTTGGTCCTGGTGAAATAAGAAAACAATTAGTAAAGTAATTTTTTATTATTTTGTTAAATTTAAAGTAATATAAATCAGTTTGTAAAAATAAATAAATTAAAAGTTATTAATTAGGGCTATTTCATTACATTATTACATTACTAAATATTAAATAATAATGATATTATTAATAATTATTACTTAAGTAATGTAGTTTAATCTTTAATGAAATTGTTGAAAATTTCACAAAAATAATGAAAAATCAGAGAGAAAATTTATTTGTGGAATAGCAAATAATTGAAACATTAAAACATCATATTATATTATATTTAATTATAATCATAAAATCAAATTAAAAACAGGAAAAAACTACTAAAAATAAAAAAATACCAATTAGCTCTAATAGTAATATAACTGATTTATATTACTAATCTTCTAATCTAATCTAATCTTATCTAATCATTCTAATGAATCACAAATGAAACTTACAGTCATAACAGGATAATCCCGGAATCATGTAAAACAACAACAACCTCTTATCATTAAAAGGTAAAAATTAATTAACAAAATAACGCAAAATTAGTAAAAAAATTAGCTTCATTCATTCAGCAAACAACATCTTTCAACATTACCATGGTATTAAAAGAACATTGATTAAGACGGCGAGATTTTTAAATGGCGACGTTGTTTTAAACAGAAATATGGACAACCATAAACGTTATAAATATTGTTGTATATAAATTTATCGATTAATACCCATAATATATACACACAGGATTCTAAGCTCGACAAATACGCACACATTTGTTTCCAATATACTATCACATCATGAATAAAATTACAATATACAGACACACACGATTAAACAAGTTTGCAATCATGTTCACTCAACGTACAATGTTATATCTTCATCCCATCCCATTAAACGTAATGAAGACATGACCATGTGCTAGAAAATTTTGAACCTAACTAACACGATTTTGCAACGAGAAACAATTATAAAATAAACTTTTAAATTATTTTTTCAACATTTTATCAATAAATTCATATAAAATTTGAAATATTTAGCTAGAAATCCAATTGGGGGCTTGAACATGAAGCACTGCTAGTGAATATTGACTTGGAATGTTCAACTGATTGTTTTAAGGACGGATTGTTTTCCTCTGAAGAGAATAACGGTGGTAGGTTGAACTTCTGAAAGTTAAAAAAATTGAAATTTTATTCAGAGGTTCACAAAAAAACTAAATTTTCAAAGATTTACAAATGAAAGTAATGAATTACAAAGAAGTAATAACCTTACCTCAATAGTAAAGCGTTTCTTCTTCACTTTGAAGACCAAATCAGAAGTATCACCGGCGTTATTTGGTAGCAGAGAATTCAATCTAGGTAGCTTTATTACGCGAAACAAACCTAAAATAAAAAACTTTTTCAGCGAAAAAACATAAAATAATCGAAAAATAAATTATTTGAAATAAATTTAAACAACAAATAAATTAGAAGTCACCATTATAATCTTTAAAACTTTCTTCATTTTCAATAGGGGAGCCTGCAAATGATTCCAATCCAACAACTGTATCACACAAATATTCAAATCTTTTCAGCAGATAAGTTGACTTCTAACAAGAAAAATAACAATAACTATTATTAAATAACAACCGCATTATAATGGTTAATAAAAATGAAAAAAGCCAATGCAAACGCCAAGAACGACCGAACTAACTCCTTGAAAGAGCCCAGGGGGTAATGTGATAAGACAAACAGCGTAAGAAGTTCTCATCAAATGGCGCAACGACAGTAGGAATCGACACACGGATGATGCGAAATCCTTTTCATCTTCACCTACGTTGTTCCACAGTGGAGAGGCTAATGATGATATGCCTGATTTTTCACAAAAAATAGTAATTAGTGTTGAAATTAGGAGTTGAATACTTATACAGTAGTACTGAATTCTTGTTAAAACAACAACTTGGAAAAAGAAATAGTATTCTTATTAGCCCAAAAATCAGTAAAAGACTTGAATATTACCGAATTTGTGTGAAAAATTACTTGAAAGCAATTTGCTACAACAAACAATGTCTTTTATTTCCAAAAAATACTTGTTAAATAGGTAAAAATTACTGAATATGACTCAAAAAATACTGAAGAAGGATCTATTAAAATGAAATTTTCAACTTTTCATCTTAAAATAAATAACAAAAATGATGTATTTACATGAAAATTATTGAAGAAAAATACCCAAAAACAATTTACTACAAGAAGAATTTCAAACTTTATTATAAAAATCATATTAAAAATACTGAATCATTACATATTCTCAAGATATTTTCGTGTTTAGTTTGGGAACTTGTGGAGTAGTTTGCACTTTCAATTAGAGATTTGACTTCATTTGCTAGGTTCCACATGTGCGATGCTGAAGAAGACCTGATGAAATAAAATTATTAAAATTTAAATAAAATTATTAAAATGTAAAAAAAATTTGCAGACCCTGACACTAATTTAACAAAAGTACTTTAAATAGTAATAATAACATTTTTAAAAAGCGTTATACAAACTGACTCTGGGTTCTCTGAAATTTCCATATTCTTGAAATAATTTATCTTGCATTTCTCAAGTAACTCAACATCCATCTTTTTTGAGATATCAAAATAGTGGCCAAACTGATCTGAAACACCTTTCTGATGTTGAAAAATAATTAATTTTAATAATAATATTGCAGTAATAATAGCAAGAATAATAATAATAATGAATACAAACCTGAGATCTCATATTTTTATACCTCCATGCAATCTTCAGTTCATCATCACTTTCTTTCTTCTGAGTAGGTAGCTTATCGTTCCTAATGGCTGTAGTATCAAAAATGCCTGGCAAGGCCTGCAAAACCAATATTTATTCGGACATTCATTAAAGATTGAAAAACATTTAAAAAAATCATTATAAATGTTTGAATTAACTTTTAACTCTCTCTAAAGTCTAAACTAACATTGATAAAATATTGGGGATCATGATCTAAGTTAGCAACAAAAAGTTCGTGGTTAGATGCAACACCTTCAGCAAGGAAGTACTTTGTTAATAAACTGCTATATACAGCCCCATCATCTTCTTCTGAAACAAAAAATATTTGAAAAGAATAATAAAATTATTATTAAAATTGAAATAATGTTAATATTATGATTTAATTATGATATAAAATATTAGTTTCTTTAACAACTTAACAAACTTTACTCTAATTATTTTAGTTTTTTTAGTTTAGTCTTTCTTGTATCAATTATTTTGCCGAGACAAATTTAGTATTTCCATTTATTTTAGTATAATTAATAAAGGTACAAAAATAAAAAAAAATGATAAAAATTAAAAAACTACTAATCAGAACAAACTTTTTTTACTTACTAACTGGCAAAGCAATACAATGCAGTCAGTCCAAGTGGACTAACTCCAAGGTAAAATTATCATAAAATTTTTAAAAACTAACCAATGAGCAAAACAGTTCCGACGGCCAATCCGCCACCAAGTACGGCATCGAATGTCGGAACCCCGGTCGACACTAATAATTGTTTGTTAGTTAGAGAGGCCTTTGTTCCCTTTATCTCATTTAATTTCGCGATTTTTTTTGCCTGGAAACCGCACGCGTTAACGTTTACATTTGCGCTCGGCACGGTCATTTTTAAATATTTAAAAGTGAACAAGATAATAACTATGGATGGGTAAGCCTTTAAAAATAACGCAAACCTACACGCAGCGGCTTTAAAACAGCAAGACAAAATTGCTATATTAAGACAACCAAGACACAATTTATTAACAATTCCAAAAAATTTCAACTAGTATAAGTTTCACGATTGCCTAATATTAGGCTTGATATCTCCAAACAGTGCTTGAACGTTTTGCTGCTGCTGCCACACGGGATTCCCAACATTGCCGACATTCACATTCAAACTGTCATGAAACTGACAATGTTGTTGTTGTTGTTCATGGTGATGATGGTGGTCGTGATGTTGATGATCATGGTGATGATGTTGATGGAAATCATTATCAGAAATATTCTCCACACTTGGCAACAAGCTCGTTGGAATTTTCCAATTATTACTGCCAACATTAGAGCCACCACCACCACCAGCAGCAAATGCGCCATCGCCACCGCTACCAAAACTCGGCATGTGTGGCTGGTACAACGGCGAGGATGGAGCAAAATTTAAATTAGGCCTCACAAACATGCCAGAGTAATTTGAAGGTAGAGTCGGAGCATTCGACGGAATTGCCAGTGACCTATCCGACATCATCGTCATCTGCTGCTGCTGTAGCTGCTGTGACTGCTGCTGAAGTAGCAGCAACTTGGCTTCAGGGCCAAAAGAATAGCTGGAGCTAACGCTAGCTCCACCTCGCAGCCAATCATCTTTGAAGATTTGAACGTTCAGTAGTGGGATGATTGTTGAGAGACGTTGGTAGACGTGGGCGAGAACCATTTGCTCGTCTGCGTCCCGACGGATGCGCACGTGCACCGAGCCAGCCTGTTCGTTGGTTGGTTGGTGGGTTGATCGATCGATCGATTGATTAGAAAAGCTTTTATGATTGCTATGAAGTTTGTGATCATTTTTGTTACTAACTGAAGCTTTGAAATTAATAAAAGCGATGAAAAATGCTTTTTTACAAAAATTTAAAAAAAAATTAATCAAAACGACCATTTTTCCGAAAGCAACAGTCCAGAAATGTTCATGTCTAAACTCCAGGACGCCATCTAGCGTCGAGGCTTCACGCAAACATTTGTCCAACTGACCAATCAGGTGAGAGGGAGTGGTCTGCATAATTTCAAGTATAATTACTTTGCTCGGAAGATAACCGACAGACAGACAATACAATTAATTGAGACATTAAATTATTATACGTTATTCAAAGATATAACGAGTGAATGAATGAATGAACGAATGAATAAAAGAACGAACGAACGAATGAATGAAAGAACGAACGAACGAATAAACAAACGAATAAACGAATAAATAAAATAATTATAAAAAGAATGAATGAACAAAGGAAGGGATGAATACAAACCTGTAGCAATATCTTCCCAGTATAGACACTCATGGGTAGCATAGTCCCGCACGTCATCAGAGCTATCCAGATGGCAGCCCACGTATCGATCGAATGATAGGAACTGCGTGATAAAGGGATTAGTGGAATGAAAGAAAGAGTTTATAAATGAATGAATAAATGAATGAACGAGCGAAGAATTTGAGGAATGAAAAATGTATGAAGAAATGGAGAAATCAACGAATTGGAGCTACTGAATAAATAAATGGATAGAGAGAAAAACGATTGGAATGTAAGAGATGAAATTAACAAATAGACTGAATGAATGAGTGAAAGAAAAGCTGAGAAGAAGGAAAATACATTAATCAATTTATAGAATCTAAAAAAAAACTAACTAGAAATCTATGAGGAAGTGTGTGACGATGAGTGCGAGGGCTCCAGCCAATGAGATGAGAACAAACGGATTGATTCTAGGTAGGAGAATCTTAGACAGGCCTGGAACCACGTGACATATGCTGTCGTGATGACGAAGATGATGATGCGGATAATGACGTCACAGAAGCAAAAACGACAGAACAAGTGAATGAATAAACGAACGAACGAATAAATGAATGAAAAAATGAATTAACTAAATTAGACCGCGTGACATAATTTCGCGACGACGATTTTTATGACGACATCACGGCGGAAACAACAAACACCCCGCAACTTGCAACCTCTCGCTAATATCAGTGACGTGCTCTTGCAGCCAGCTACTACTCGAAGCATCCATGACGTGATTGAACGCCGGATTGTCGACCATGTAGGCTATGCAGAGGTGGAATACCAGGGCAAATACCGTCCCCATTAGCAGGCGACCGCTGAAATTAAGGATAGAAATAACGAAATTGAAAGAAAAGAAATTGAAAAAAAATTGAAAAAATACAAAAAAAATTGAAAAGGTTAAGAGGAGTGATGGAAAAGTACAAAGGAGATAACAAATATTGTGGGAAAAATGTGTACAAACGTGTGAACGTCTGGTTGCTCTACTACTCTTTCTATACTGGATGGACAATTTTTTTGTGAAATAATAACGAAATAAATAATAAATAATGATAATATTAATAAACAAATAAAGAATAAAAACTAAATAACCTTTCTTTAATGATAAAAAATGAACCGAGCTGAGCTAGAACTGTACTGGCAAAAACGAAGAGAACTTCAAATCTTTCAAAACTTCGAAAATTATATTGAATAAAAAATTATAAAATAATAAGTTGATAATAATCAAGTAATAATAATAATAAAATAAAAGTAACTATAACATAATTATATTAATAAAAAAGACAGACCCAAATGAATACACAGATGAATGCTGCTGTTGTTGAACCCATATTGTAACCAAACATGTCAGCATACTAAATAACAAGAATAATAATAATAATAATAATACTTATAAATAAAATAATAAACAATAATAATAATAATAGATATAAATAAATAACAATATTAAATTAAAAAATGGTATCTTTATGACCTGAAGAAGTCAAATATCGTTAGGTAAGTGTAGGCAGTCAGGGCTGAGAGGAAATTTAATTGAGAAAATTTAAAGGAATTAAAATATCAAACCAAGGTTATTTCATTCTTAATTAATTACTAAATGTATCAACGCAAGCGCACACACACACACACACTGAATTCAAAAAATTTGAAATGAATTCCATAGGGATCCTCTTGCATTTAAACTTTGTTACTGCAAAAGCATGGCCAGGTGATTTAACCATCTTACCACCAAAATAATTACATATAGATATATATATGTATTTCTAATGCAATTAATCCTAACTGACTGACTAACTAGCAAACTCACCCATGCTGTTTGTGGATATGCACCACATTAAAAGTATAACAGTGCTAATGATGTTAATACCACAGGAGAGCAAAATTTTTTTAGCCTGGACAGAATGGAAAATATAATTATTATTAATACATGAATTATAATAATTAGTATTTAAAGGAATATTAATTTTTTAATAAAATGATAAAAATGTGACTGAGAAAAAAGATAGAGAGAGAGAGAGAGAGAGAAAGAGAGAGATATTTTAAAATGAGAATACTAAAGATGAAACAGCTAGGCTATTAATTGGATTAACAACTGAAAGAATATCAATTAGTTTTTTCTTTAAATTAATTAAATTAAATTGAAAAAAATACATACAGGTTGTTGTTTGAACAGCTTCCTGGCTTCATTTTTCAGGGAACAATAATTCGACTGGTTCTCTCTATAAAATGGATGAACTGTTCCCTAAACATTTCGTTTTATGTTAGCTAGATTATATTTCAATTTTTATTAAATAACATCTTGAAAAAATTAAAAATTTTTTTGCTGAAACATGTAAAGTAAAAGGTGTAAACGTAATATCATATTTATGCGTTTGATTCATTTAATTAAAGTGAATTAAAAACAAAATATATTCAAACTATTAAATCCGGGACATCAATTTTAGTGGGGGCATTCATTATTTTAATTATTAAAACAAATTAAATTATGATTTCTATCAAATTTTAATGAGTATCACTTTTAATCAGAAAAAAGTGAACTTTGATGTAAATAAAACGAAGTTAAATCGATGTTGCTAATTCAATTTTTATACTCGCTATACATACAATTGACTCTCCATCGGATTTTTTTATTTCACTTCAATAAACGTAAAATTAACTAGAAATAAATTGCAGGCCGTAAGAAAATACAAGTTAAAGTACCGAAAAATTAGGACTCCATTTGCAAACTTAAATTTGACTACTTTAATTGCAATGCTGACACCACAACACACACATACACACACACTTATGTATACATACATATTTAAACTATACATAAATAGTAGATAAGTTGAAAAGAAGTATCACCCACACTTATCTAGTAAATGTTTTTCTACACATAGAAGCATCACAAATATTAACAAATAATCACACATGTAAGCATATTGTCACTATAGTAATATTATTTTCATAAAAAATTATAATTCATTTCCATTCTTCTTTCATAATTTTGAGTGTGTCAGTAGTTAGCTGGGGTCCAATTAGTGGGTGCAGTTGCATGAGCCATGTACAGAGCCAACTAGAAAAGTGGAAAAGTATAAGAAATTATAATTATATCTATAAATCTTAAAAATTTCAATTAATTTTAGTGGCTGTAGTGAAGTGATATTGAAAATAGTAATTGAAAATTTATTATTTAAATTTAATCCAATTATTGACAATTGTTATATGATGATAGGATTCTGAAAAAAATGAGTAAATGGTTAAAAAACTTACAATAGATAACAGCAGACAGCTGTTTCAACCAGCATGGTTTGAATAATTCTGTGTATTTATAAAAAAAAATGAAATTCAACTTTTTTGTAGTATATTTAAAATTAAATAAACATTAAATAAACAGTAATTGACATACATATTCCTTATTATTTATTAAAATATAAAATTCATGTACAATTACTATTACAGTACTACACACAGAGTTAAAGATCAGGTTTTGTGGAGGTCGATGGTCGCAAATGTCCTGAAAGAATGAGGCGTGAGAAAGAAGAAGTACCCCGTTTATAAATTTTATCCTTAAAATTTTAAGACTAACCCTCGATTAGGTCCTTTCGGGATAAACCAGGGAACGACACCCCCCACGACCGCCCAGAACAAAGTGAAGCCCAAAAGCGCCCAGTACGCCATTTTTAAAGATTAATTAAATCAAATTACTGAATAAATTAATTTTTTAAAATTTAATGACTCAAAAAGTTAAATTAACGGACGATTTTATTGAACTTTCGGCCCTGTTTACTTTATAATTTGTATTATCATAATGCAATAAATACTAGTGTTGCCGTTTTGAAAAACGACCGTTAAGCCAAAACAATGTTGCCGTTTACAAATAATTCTCACGTTCGAAATAACTTATGCCCGTTCTAACGCACCTTCCAAACGCTAGATCACTCCAATACGTAATCTTTGAGAAACAAATCATTAAAAAATAGAATAAAGTCATTTTACGAAACTCTTCACCACTAAGCTAGCACTAAATATAGTTAGTCACAGTTATCACAATCTTGACAAATCAGCCATCTCAGGAATAGACAAACGAAACCACTATTAAATTAGGACGTTTCCGAATTAGAGCTTCTACAAATTATGATGTGACCATCATCTGCGTCTGCTCTTGAACTCTGCACGGCGTATCAACTTCAGTTCCCATTGTATCCTCCTCGATGTATTCAACAGTCTCAGAGAGAACAACTGTTGTACCTTTCTTGTATGTGTAGTCACCTTGCCTGGAGGAATATATCGATGGAAATTAATATAATTAATCAGCTAGAAAATAATATAGAAATATAAATTAAATATTGCTATTTCGTTGAATAGAATACACTAGAAAAAGAAACAAAATTATTCAAATGATTGTTTTAATAAAAAATTTAACATACACATTGACAACATGCATTATTTTCAAGCATTCAACAAAAAGTAATGTTCAGAATTTAACGGTGAAAACGTTATAAAATAAATTAAATAATAATTAACAGAATTAACATCATAATTACAACATAACCGTCATCATCACGACCAAATTCACGCCCCACACACTAACCTCACTCCCTTCTTAGTGGCCACATTAAATGGTCTCAGGTACTCTGTCTTCTCTTTGGTAATTACGCAAAGGTCAACATTTGAACCAGAGCCAAGGTCATTGAAGATACCCGCTGCTATGGCATCGTGCACTAACTGCATCGCCTCCTGACGCTATTTTGTGGGTGTAAAAAAAAAACCACAGATCAAAATCAGAATAAAACTAGGCAAAATAAATAATTATGACGATCATATTAACTATAATTTTCATCAATTATTTTATTATAATAATTTTAATAATAATAAGGACGATGACGTCAAATCACCTCCATGTTTATTTTGTATCTGCTCTCAAAGACTGCCATTGCAGCCAAAGATCCAGAACCTAGAAGAAAAATAAGACAACTATGAAAAGGATGAAACTTCTACACTAAATTACTTAGACAGACAGACAGACACACACACACAAACACACAACAAAAACCTGTCCATCTCCAACCAGCCCAACAACTAACCCATAGTGACGTAAGGTAGTGACGTGGAACTGCCATGGGGGTGAATTGATAATAGGTGGGGCCCTGTCACGTCCACGCCCCCAAGTACAAGGGCCGCACTTATGTGGCCACTATATCTAAAAATAGCAAAGAAAATATTTCGCTAATCGCTAACGTAGCACACTAATTATATTTTCTGCCACTAATTTATCACAGTAGCTACATCCTTAATCACTAATTCATTACACTAATTACACACCTAATAAATGGCAAAACTAATCACCTAAAAAGAAACTGCCTAATCATCCTGTTGGCAGCAACGACTCGAGGCGTCCGACCAGTATTCAGCCTAATCAGCTCCATGTTGCTCTCAATCATTTTTGTAGTTCTGTCTGTGTCAGCTGCCGTACCAGCACCACAACAACTGTTCATATTTTGATTTTTCTTTCATCAATTCATCCACTTAATCATTCTTTCATCTATTTATTCATTCATCTATCTTTCCATAAATACATTAATTTATCCATTCATTCAACCATGCACTCATTCATTCATTCATTAATTCAGGAGGTGAAAATGTACAATACCACCCACCAAACAAAATCAAAACCAAAGAAAAAATACCAAAAAATTATTACTAGATATTGTCAGCAATGCGATGAATCTTTGAACAATTTTTATCAGCCACAATGGTGTCACTTGTGGCTCTTGTGTCAGCTCCTAGGACCACACCATCCTAAATTTTTGAAGCAAAATTCCCAAATTAAGATAAACATATTAAATTGAATTAAGGAAATCTTAACAATCTACTTAATTAAGTGGAAATATTAAATTTTACAATAAAATTTTCTAGTCAAAGCAAGAATATCAAACTAAACTAAAAAATTTTTGAAAATTCACTAAATATCTAAATAAATATAATTTTATCTAAAAATTAACATAAATGAATTAAAAAGCAAGATAAAATGACACATAAGAACCAGTAAAAAATAAAAATTAAACTGATTAACATTAAATTAAATCATTAAATGTAATTTGCAAGTTCATGTCTAATTAGGAATCAAATACCTCTGTTACAATTTAAAAAAAAATAATAAATAATATAAATCATTATATTTTATAAATAATTAATGAAGCCAAAATTTACTTTAAAGACAACTCCAGCAATAGTTGTGCCTGTTTTAGTGGCCTTTGGGTGCTTGAAGCCCTGCTTTGCCAAAACTGCATTCCTGTCAAGTGAAGTAACCAACAAGTATAATTTAAATTTAATTCAATGATTAAATTTTATTGATTTTCTAAATATATTTTTATAAAAAAAGGGACACAAAACTTTGTGACAAAACATTTGTCTCTCATGTTATGATATGAATCCATCAGAAAGATGCTTGATGATGATGATAGGTTTTAATACTGTCCCCAAGGTAATTTAGATTAATAATTATTAGATAAATTAGTAATTTTAATTGTAATTACAAAATTAAAATAAATTTGATTTTGATTGGATTGGGAGGATGACTTGCAAACAAATAAAACTTGAAAAAAGAAGAAAATTTTTTGGTCAAAATTTAAAACAACAATTTAAAACAATAATTTTTAATAAAAATAAAATTTCACCTTCTACAGTTTTCAAACGAAAACCCTCCCTGATTTAATTCATCTAGGATACCAGCCATTTTATCGCCAGTTTACGGTTTATATGACAAAGAAACGACAACTGATACTTCACTTTTAAAATAAAACATTTGCATATCTTTGCAAGTAACATTGGTAATAATAATGAAACTCTACAAAAAGTTTTTTTTTAACGAAAATTCAGTATTGATAAAACAAGGTATGTAACTCTTTTCATAAATTTATGAGTGTATGCATGCCTGTTTGTGTGTACGTATACATGTGTATTAGTATTGTATTAGTAGTGTATTAGTGATGTATTTTTGTGGTGTGAGTGTGTGTTTGAATCCGAATCTGTATGCTTATATTTAGAATGTATGATAGAGATTTAAAAAGAAAGAGAAAAAGTAAGAGAGAGAGAGAAAAGAGAGAGAGAGAGAGAGAGAGAGAGAGAGAGAGAGAGAGAGGGAGAAAGAAAGAATTACATATTCATCTATTAGAATTATAATAATAAACAGAGACACGCCATCACAATAACCATAATCATCATCATCTCCATCATTCTCATCATCATCTTCTTCTTCATCATCCTCCTCCTCATCATCTGACTAATGTTTGTTCAGCGTCAAATTCCCAAAGGAAATGACTTTATTATTTTCTATATTAACTGTAATAACAATTGGACGATTTGATCAACGCTAACTGTACAAGCATACATACATACATACGTACATACGTACATATATATATATATATATATATATATATATATATATATATATACATATACATACATACATACATACATACATACATACATACATACATACATACATACATACATACATACATACATACATACATACATACATACATACATACATACATACATACATTCGTTAGTTTCGAACTTTTGCCAAACATTTCTAGTGATAAGCGTCACTAGCATTGGGCTTAACTATCTTGGAGTCTTTTATTCAAATTATAAGAATAATTAATTATATTTATGAATATAATATTTTTATTATTCTTTTATTCTAACATAAAAATTTTATTTTGTAAATTTATTTTAAATTTTCAATTGAGATAGATAAAAATGAGAAGCAAAGAAACAACAACAACAACAACAGTCATCGCTAACGAAGCTGTAACCGCCGGGATCTCTGGCAGCACTACTAGCAACAATAGTAATAATAACAACAATGATACTAATAACATCAACAATAACATCAACAACAACAGCAGCAGCAGCACAAACGCACTAAACAACAGCAAAACAAAATTTAAAACTGCCGAAATAATTGACCGTCCTAGAACCCCGCCCCCAACGGGCCCCATTATCGAACTACGCAGCCGAGAAGTCATCTTTGCCATTTTGATCTTCTTCCTCTTAGCCGTAGTCACGGGTTTGATTGTGGTTCTTAGTTCCTACCAGATGAAAAATTTGTCGATGACGGTTGGCGATGCAAGACCGGTTGAGAAGAGGGGTGAGAAAAAGCAGTTTTGCCAGAATACAGGCTCGTCTAGGTTTGGAATTGGTATATCATTTCTTTGTCTGTTTGTCAGTTCGTTCGTTCATTGTTCGTTCGTTCGGTCATCCATCCATCCATCCATACTTTAAAGTATTCTTTCATTTATGAATTCATCATCCATTCATTCATTCGTTCATCCATTCATTTATTCATTCATCAATCTATCTATCCATTCATTTAGACAAGAGTCAAAGAAGACGAGAGAAAATAGATACGCGGATTTGTTCAGACGCATGGACTTCAGCGCACACCCCTGCGACGACTTCTGGAAATATTCATGCGGTCGATTCCTTGCTGAAAACAAAATTCCGGAAGGAAAAGGATCCATCGGGCTCGATGACATGGTCACGTGACATGTGATGATAATGATGATGATGATGATGATGATGATGATGATGATGATGATGATGATGATGATGATGATGATGATGGTTGTGATGACGACGATGAGAAAGAACTGATAGGAATATTTTAGTTGTGAATGAATGAGAAAATGAGTGAGTGAAGAAATGTTCCAATAAACGATGAACCGATTTTTCACAGGCCATAAACCAGACGAAACGAATAATCGAAACGGTCATTCGGTCGGATATTGCCGACAATCACCGAACCAACCCCGACTCTGCGGTCAGAAAGATGAAACAGTTTTACGATACTTGCACTCTGGGAAACAAAACGAAGTTGAAAAAATTTGACGGCCTGATGAAACACGCTGGAACCTGGTTGAAATATGGTCTGTCGCTGTTTCGTTAATATCTTCATCCTCGCTGTAGATCCCAGTATTCCCACATACAAACACACATCCACTGATACAAACACACGTACAAACACACAAACAAACACATAGACAATGAAATAAAACATACAAACAAATATACAGACAAAGAAATAAAACATACAAACAAATATACAGACAAAGAAATAAAACATACAAACAAACATACAGATGAAGAAATAAAACATACAAACAAACATACAGACAAAGAAATAAACGTTCAAAGGATGCTGACTCTGCTAATTATTGAGCTTGACTTGCAAGCACTGTTCTCTATGGCCATCACAAAACAAGCTTTGGTCAAAGATACCAACATAATCATGGTTAATTAACCTTTAACCTTTAATTATGATAATAATACTTGTTATTATTATTTATTGCGTTTGATTTGATACAATTTTATACTTTATACAACAACAACTACTACTACTACAGCTACTACTACTACTACTACCACTACTACTACTACTACTACTACAGCTACTACTACTAATACTACTACTTACTACTACTACTACCACTACTACTACTACTACTACTACTACTACTACTACCACTACTACTACTACTACTACTACTACTACTACCACTACTACTACTACTACTACTACTACTACCTACTACTACTACTACCTACTATATAAATTCTCCATACCATACCATACCATACCATACCATACCATACCATACCATACCATACCATACCATACCATACCATACCATACCATACCATACCATACCATACCATACCATACTACTACTACTACCACTACCACTACTACTACTACCACTACTACTACCACTACTTCTACCACTACTACTACTACTTTTACCACCATAATATTAATAATAATAATTTATATAATTATGACAACTATAATTGTTTTGTTATAAAATTTTGTGTAAAAGTTGAGTCCGGCCACACTGCCATTACCGTCTTCCTTTTACAAGTTCATCCATCACAATCACCATCATAAAAGTAATAATAATAATAACAATAATAATAATAATAATAATAATAATAAAAATAACAATAATAATAATAAAAATGATAATGATAATAATAATAATGATGATGAAATGGACAATTCTGGCGAGTTCATAAAGAGCACCTACGATGAAAATAATAATACTTACAGCAAACTAGACCATAAAAACAAAAACAACAACAACAATAACAACAACAACAACAATAACAACAATAATAATGGTATTAATGATGAAGATAATAATAATAATAACATTAATAATAATATTAATAGTAACAATAACTACTCAATTCATGATAATACAACAAAGGATGTTGTGTACAACTCGACGGACGTAACTACTGAAGCCAACAACAACAACAACAACAACAACAACGATAATAATAATAGTAATAATAACAACAATAATACTGATTACATTATTTTTAACAACAACAACAACAACAACAATGGCAATGACACTAATTACATTAACGACAATGATAAAAACCTTACTAACATCAACAACAACAACATCAACAACAACAGCAACAGCGACAGCAAGAACAACAACAACAGCAACAACAACATCACAAAGCCGATGGCAGTGATGTCGGCCTATAGGGAACTGATAATGAAAATTGTTAGATATGTCAGAGAGAGCAGGGAGAGACAAAGGAAAAGTAGTAGAAAAGTGAAACAACATCATAAAAATCAACAACAATATCATCAACAACAACATCAACAACAACATCAACAAAGACATCGGAGAGATATCGAATATAGCTACCAAACAAACAACATCAACTATAACAACAACAACAACGACAACAACAACAACAATAATAATAGTAATAATGAAAACAGTGACGATACTGAGGGTGATGATGATGATGACGACGACGGTGTTGATTATGACACTCATGATGAGAATAGAGATGGTAACGATGATGATGATGACGATGATGATGATGATGGTGATGATGGAAAAAATATAAATAGCAGCAGCAGCAGCAGCAACAACAACAACAACAACAACATCATAACCAACAGTCAAATTGATGAAAGCACATATGAAAGCATGGAAGCTAGAAATACAACCGAAAATACTACTACTACTACTTCTACTACTTCTACTACTACTACTACTACTAATAATAATAATAATAATAATAACAACAAAAACAATAATAATAATAATAAAAGAAGCAGGGGACAGAACAGAAGAACAGCGGAAAATCTGATAAAATTTGAGCAAAAATTGGCCGAAGTAATATTTATTATTAATATTAGTTATATTATTATTATTATTATTAGTTATATTAGTATTAGTTATATTTTTATTATTATTATTATTTGTTATATTATTATTATTATTAGTTATATTATTATTTTTAGTTATATTATAATAATAATTATTATTATTATTGTTAGTTATATTATTAATATTAATATTATTATTATTATTTTATTATTATTATAATTGTTGTTATTCAGTTTCAAAGTACTGAAGATGTTGAGCCTGTCATACAGAATGTCTCGCAAATTATCGAGAGTATCACCATTATGAATAACGTAAGAATGAATGAACGAATGAATGAATGGATGGATGGATGAACGAATGAATGGATGAACGAACGAATGAATGAATGAATGAATGAATGAATGAATGAATGAATGAATGAATGAATGAATGAATGAATGAATGAATGAATGAATGAATGAATGAATGAATGAATGAATGAATGAACGAACGAACGAACGAACGAACGAATGAATGGATAAATGAATGAATGAATAAAAAATTAATGCCCAGGATTCTTGGATGAAGTTTTTCTCATCCTTCTCACCTTCCATCAATCTCTCAACACTAATCGCTATCGACGATTACAATTACTTTTTGAACGTATCCAAACTATGGATGGATACTGATAACAAGTCAGTGGTACTACTACCATAACTACTACTACTACTACTACTACTACTACTACTTTTACTACCACTACCACTGCTACTACAGCTACTACTACAGCTACTACTACAACATTAATAACACTATTTTTTAATAATTAATAACAATAACAACAATAACAGCATAAACTTATTGTTGTTGTTATTGCTGTAGAACGAAGGATGACTATCTAGGATGGCAGCTGATGTTCCAGCTCTTCGTTCCAATGCTCCAGGCCAATCTCGACATCCGGGAAACCTACGATGAGTTAATCAAACTTAGGAGAGGAAAGTATAGAGGTATGAATGAATGGATGGATGAATGGATGGATGGATGGATAAATGAATGAATGAATGGATGGATGGATGTATGGATGGATGAATGAATGAATGAATGAATAAATGAATGAATGAATAAATGAATGAAGGAATGGATGGATGGGTGGGTGGATGGATGGATGGATGGATGGAAGGATGGATGGACGGATGGACGGATGGACGGATGGACGAATGAACGAACGAATGAATGAATGAATAAAAAAACGAAAGAATGAGTAACGACCAAAAAACTTAGATTGCGTGGAGTTGACGAAGTTCCATTTCGAAGAAGTTGTTGGTTCAGAATACGTCAGGCACGGAGACGGCCGAATTGAAAGAGCGATTCAAGTGGTACTAACGCCTGCTTCTTCTTCTATTATTATTATTATTAATATTATTATTATTATTATTATTATTATTATTACCCTTTATACACACATACACATGTTTATACACGTGCATGTATGTTTTTGTATCATTATGCCTTATACAAAAAGTACACCAAAACAGATATATAATATACTATACACAAACACACATCACACACACACACAAATTTACTTTCACCAAAACACACACGTATACACACTTGAACATACAAATACACAGACACACACCACACACACATACTTCCACCAAAACACACACAAACACACTCTTGAACAAACAGATACACACACACACACATACAAACACACACACAGACATACTAATGAAAATACATAGTAGAACAAAACAATGAAATAATATTATAACTACCATCATAGGTTAAAGAGATGATTTTAGAGATTGTAGACATCTACAATCTGACCCTCGATAAGAACAACTGGATGGACAATGAAACAAGATGGCGGGCTCAGGAAAAGGTAAGACTTCCGGTGGCCATTTTGTTTAACCTAAAGTCGTCCACTTGTGGGTTGTTTCCGGTAGCCATTTTGGATTATATACCGAAAATAATGTACTTACAATAAAAGAATAATACAACTAAATAATAACAAAATAATAATAGTAATAATAATTATAATAATAATTATTTTATAACAAATAATATAATTCCTCTTCAGTTGAATAACCTCCAGTTTGTCGTGGGAGCCAATGATTTCATCCTGAATGAGACTACATTGAATAAGCATTTCCAACACGTCTGTATCTATAATAACAACAACAACAACATTAACAACAATAATAACAATAATAACAATAATCTATAATATAAAAAATAATATATATATATATATATATATAATATATATATATGTTGGTATAAATTCGCAAGAATTTATAGAATATTGTAAAAAATATAATATACATATATTATACAATATAAAGTATATATACGCTTAATTTGAGACAAAAAATACCCCAAAATACACTCAAATTTGCGTAAAAAGGTACATATATGGGAGAATACTTCGCATTTTGAGAACATTCTGGAACTGAAGAGGAACCGGAGACGCGAGAATCAAGAGACTTACGAGTTGAACTTGCAGGAGTCGTCAGTTCATTCGTTCATCTATTCATTCATTCCATTAAAACCAAGCTGTTCGACGACATATGAATAGAACACATAAAATAATAATAAAATAATTAATGACAATAATAATTACAAGTAATTGAATGATGATAATTGTATTTTTTTCTCGCTAGAATGCAAATAAACGCCTTAGACAGAAACGCATATTACTCTATATTTGAGAACAGTGTAGGTAAGTATGCATGCATACATACATGCATGTATGCATGCATGTATGTATGTATGTTTGTATGTAAGTATGTATGTATGTATGTATGTATGCATGTTTGTATGCAATAATAATAATAATAATAATTTTTTAGGTTTTCCCGCGGGTCTCTTCCAATCCCCTCATTATACAGATGATGGTTACAGGTTGATTTCTGATGATGATGATGATGATAATGATGTTAATGAAGGTGATGACGATGATGATGTTGATGATGACGAAGATGTTGGTCATCCATCCATAAACTCTAGCCAATTACATTCGCGCATCTATAAATAGAACATAAATATCAGCCAATTATTTTACGGGTAGATAAGAATTTTAACCATTCATGTTCATTCGTTCATAAATTCAAAATGAAACTCCAACCAATCACATTCATCCACCAATAAATATGTAAAACTTGTCCGCCAATCGTAACCACCCATCCATAGATACATAAACTATGGTTCTTTGGGTACAACAATAGCCCATGAAATCTTCCACGTGTTTGATATACAAGGTAATAATACCATTAACATAATTTATTCATTTATTCATGGAACTAATAACAAATTCTAACCAATCACATCCGTTCATTTAGTTTCATAACATAGATCAACCATTTACCCGCAAAAAAACTCAAAGAAAATCTAACCAATCACATTTATCCATTCAAGTTATTATCCCAATTTATTAATTTATTTATAATTAAGGCTCCGCCTACGATTTTGAGGGCAAACAAAACAATTGGTGGTCGGAAAATACATATTCAGAATTCAAAAAAGGAACTGACTGCTTGGAGAATGTCTATTCCGTGCTCTTTGTTGACGATATGCAGGTCTGTGTAGTAAGTGTGTGTGTGTGTATGTGTGTGTGTGCATGTGAGTAAGTGTGTGTGTGTGTGTATGTGTGTGTG